AGTGCTGTCCGCAGATTGAGTAGATTATCTCTCTCTCTCTCCTGCACACCGGTGCTTCTGTCTTTTTCTGGCACTTGCGGCCCATGTGAAGTTTGTTGACCTATTAAATGTCCTTTCAAAGGGCACAGCACGGCCGGGGAGAGCCGCGTCATATACATGTACATGTACGTGTAGGCTGCGGACAGAGTTCTGATACAGACGAGAAGGGACGAGAAGTCCGGAAGAAAGTGTACGCCTTTATTATTATTATTATTATTATTATTATTGCAATTTCAAATTTGGACTTCACGGAGAATTTTCAAAGTGTTAGGACATTTGAGGCCACATGCCACGTACTGCTCTTTTCTCTCCGAAACTCAACAATTGCAAGCCAGATATGAAAGAAAGAAAAAATCATCAGTCACACCACCGGGACTCGAACCAGGGACCTTGCTATTCGCGAGCAATGCTCTAACCAACTGAGCTACAGTATGACTCTTGTCCACAGTGATGGTAAATCTATCCTTCTTCGATCAATCAACATCTGGCTTGCATCATACTGGCAACTCACACCAATCAAGAGTCCCTGGTTCGAGTCCCGGTGGTGTGACTGATGATTTTTTCTTTCTTTCATATCTGGCTTGCAATTGTTGAGTTTCGGAGAGAAAAGAGCAGTACGTGGCATGTGGCCTCAAATGTCCTAACACTTTGAAAATTCTCCGTGAAGTCCAAATTTGAAATTGCAATTAGTTGTTTGCTCGCAGTGGACATAGTTTGATGCGCTCCCCATGATATCAAGCGAATGGCCGAGGGCCCTCTTGATTGGTGTGAGTTGCCAGTATGATGCAAGCCAGATGTTGATTGATCGAAGAAGGATAGATTTACCATCACTGTGGATAAGAGTCATACTGTAGCTCAGTTGGTTAGAGCATTGCTCGCGAATAGCAAGGTCCCTGGTTCGAGTCCCGGTGGTGTGACTGATGATTTTTTCTTTCTTTCATATCTGGCTTGCAATTGTTGAGTTTCGGAGAGAAAAGAGCAGTACGTGGCATGTGGCCTCAATTATTATTATTATTATTATTCTCGTATCCGTCCCGAATGGGACTCACGACGGCAGAATTAACTGTGAGCATGTGTGTGTGAGAGTGGGAGAACGAAATGAATGTACGCCTTTGCTTCGACATGTATGTTCCCTTCGGGAACGGACACGATAATTTTCTTTTTTTTCTTTTTTTTGTATAGGATATTACCCAAGTATGAGGGTCTTACCTCCCGAATATCATCCCGACTGCTAAGGTCTGGTATTGCTCAGAGACGGTTGGGTATGTATCAGCATGATCGAGGAGAAGCCGTAGTGTACATCCGTCCGATACATTCGACATTTTTATTTACCCGCTTACATGTACATGTACATGAACATGATGTAGTGGAACTTGGATTGCCGTCTGCCTGAAGTTACATGACTTTTTATAACTCTTCGCAGTCGCTCACACTTCGGTGCCAGAACCTGCATGCAGAATACCTTGACTTGTATAATGTAAGTGTAACGTGGTGCACTTCGTATCTGACGTTCAGTTGCTTGGGGAGGGATATCACTATGGTCATAATCAAAGGACCTTTGAAAACGTTCATGGAGCAGAATGGACAGACCAAGCTGCCTTCACCACTGCTTCTGCAGAGCAAAAACAGTAGTTTAATGGCTATTCTGACGTGTAAATTTAAATCAAGAATGCAAAGTGTGCACACATACATTGTACACTTGCAGTGAACGTTATTATGCAGCGCTGGTTACTGTGAGGCAAGCTTGACCGGAAACCGGACATCAGTGACACGTCCAATGCTCATTGAAAAATCACTCTGCTGGCTCTAGTTCGCGGCGAACGGACGCCCCATGGACTTTGTAAGAGGGAACGCGACCGCAATCATCCAGGACAAGCTGTTGCAACATTGTTTGCTCGTTTCACCGCGGGCCCGGGAATTAGCCTTGCGCACTGCGAGCTCTGAAACACACTTGCCATAAATGAGGTTATCGAAGTGATGGTAATAAGGTCCTAATGCCAATGACTTTGGCATGGGTGCGAAATCCTGCGAAACATTGTCGTGTCGAGTGAGTTTCGAGTATCAGAACATGCAGGCTTGTATTGTACGTACATGTACATGTACATTGTAACTGACCGGTCTGCATCGGGATGCTGCTGACTGGCAGTACTTGTGGCTATTGACAGGCTCAGCATATACAATGTACTTATACTGGAATGAACTTTGTGGCCTGATTATCACATTTGAGCTCAGCTCAACAAGAAGTGCCTTCATAATCGGCGGCGAAGATCCCAACTTGCTTTCCTGAAGTGAATATACTAGTACCCCGCGTCGGGATGAAGTAATTAGTAGCAAGAGTAGATAAAGTCTCCAGCGCTTATGAATTTACTCTTGCTATAAACACGCGAACCGTGTTTAAAAAAAAATTATAATCGTGAGTATAATCGTGAGTATCGATGGACATGCGCGTATGAATGTGCTTCAGTACAGTCATGTTTATCGGGTGTTAGCGGCCGTCGTGAGTTCCCTTCCGTGCATGTAGGTGCAAGTCATGTACATGTACATTGAAATTGTTTGTCCTCAAGGTTGCGTTTTAACTTTTACATGTACTGTAGCTTCGTAGTGACTAGCAGTTATGCACATTGTCTCTTGTTTGCATGCTTGTTTGTTCTCTATGACATAATTATAGTGTGCTTGTTAGCACCCACATGTACTTGTAGGTCAGCCAGTACTAGAATTTCATCTCATGCATTTACGAGATCGTATACCACCTTTGTGCTTCTGCTGCGCGGTTCTCAGCCCACAGTCTTGTCGACTTATCACCTGCAAGCTTGCACCAATGTTTTCTCCTCCTCGCCTCGCTTCCCCTCATGCTCAGGCTGCCTGTCTCCGACCACTAGTTGCATGCCTGATGGTCGTGACTACTACCGCGAAACTCTGAGTTCCAACATAGCCTTTTCCTTCTTCCTTTTTTTTGATTTCGGCCAGTATGGCTAGAGTGCGTAATCCGTCTTGCGGGTGAGACATGTAATGGGGAAGTTGCCATACAGGGGTGTGAGGCTGTGAGCCCGCCTTTCGGCACCGGAAGTACTAGTACAGCTTGATCGGCTCGAGTGACGATATGAGTCGATGACCCATACCTTGATCTGATCTTCTTCCTTTCTTTCTACTGACTGTGTGGGTGGGTACACTGTACATTGTAATTTGTATACGTCATGTACAATACTATCCGCAGATTGAGTACTAGTATACAATACTGTAACATGTTGCTTACATCGTCCGACAAAGGTATAGGGGAGTAAAGCCCCAGCAGACAAGTACGGCTATCGCAGTGTTTCGGTGTGAACAATGGCAATATCCTGCCATATCCGTGTCAGTTTTTATTGCTAGGCATTCGGCGAGGTAATTCGGTTAACACTATGTCTACAATATCAAGAGTGCATATTGAACTGAAGACGGGCACAAGATCAAGAAGACGTTCTGGATTCAAACTTTAACTTTGCTTTGTGTGTGTGTGGGCATGACGGCACAGTTTTAGTTGCGTTTAATACTTAGACTGTTGTCTCATCGCCGCTTTTCACATAATGTACTCAGTAACTCTTGATAATACAATATTGAGGTTCCCATAACGTGCTGACATATTATGTGTCGCAACCGGGCTCATCATGGCGTGTCTCACATACATGCTATTTGCCTAATAGGATTAGATCTGGGACACCGCATTTGCATGATCTTGAGACCGTCACAAGCTGTAACCTGGCCCAACTGTTCCAATCGAGAGGCACCACTTTCAACTACAATCTACTCGTACACGCTTCCACTGGGAAGGTGTGACGTGTGACAGTTTGTTACCGTGCTAGTAGGGGTAAATGCGAGATCCACGTAACAATGGTGGTTTACGTCGCCGATCCACTAGACCGTTACTACGTCCGCACAATCCACTACGAGTTGTAGACCTACGAGCCGCAGCCATGTATACACATGTGCAATAGAACAACAGCCCAAAACAACAGGTCAAGTTTGACTCTCAGCAGGTTACAAACTAACTTATCACCCTGCTGATCACAGCCGTGCTGCGGAAGAGACACTCGCTTTGCGGCACGGTGCTGCTGAGTAGTGGCTGGCGCCATGATATTCGAGTGTTACTCTAGCAGCGCGACAGTAAATTCAATCCTGATAAACACTGTCCTCTGCATGGACAAGCACTTGATCCAATCACGACAAAATCACTGTGTACTCAGTAATATCTACAATTCTACATGTACATGCCGCCGATGATGTACATGTACGTGGAAGTAGTCTTTCCCAGTGCCCCTTGTTTTAATTCAGTTTTTTAAAAACCAACTCAGCTATAACTAGTATAAGTACGCGCGTATATAGCAAATGGACCGGCAAGACTCGACAAGAGGCTAAAAAATGGAGTGCAGCTGTGATCTTGTTCATCACGTAGACAGCGACAGCGACAAGAACCCATGAGCACGACGTCCTGCTGCAAAGGAGAAGAAGCGAGTATCATCACAATTGCATTATTATTATATTTATGAAACAGATTGACTGTAGATGGTAAAGAGTAGGACTTCGTTAGAACGTTTCCGACAAACAGAGTCTAAAGGTCAGGTTTACAACACAGTATGCTAGGAATGCAGTTACACGACCAATCATATCATTCCATCGTATCTCTGTGTATCTTTTTAGTATTTACCGATCAAAATACGCAAAAGAGCACAAAGGAGGCTTGAACAAAACCAAAAGTTACCTTTGTCTTGCTTTGATAGTGCTAGTTAGTCAATAAGTCGTCTCCTTGTGAGAAGGCACCATTGCCTGTTTGCTTGAACGACTATAAATAAAAGCACAACAAACAACAACAACAACATCAACAACAACAACAACAACAACAACAACAACAACAACAACAACAACAACAACAACAACAACAACAACAACAACAACAACAACAACAACAACAACAACAACAACAACAACAACAACAACAACAACAACAACAACAACAACAACAACAACAACAACAACAACAACAACAACAACAACAACAACAACAACAACAACAACAACAACAACAACAACAACAACAACAACAACAACAACAACAACAACAACAACAACAACAACAACAACAACAACAACAACAACAACAACAACAACAACAACAACAACAACAACAACAACAACAACAACAACAACAACAACAACAACAACAACAACAACAACAACAACAACAACAACAACAACAACAACAACAACAACAACAACAACAACAACAACAACAACAACAACAACAACAACAACAACAACAACAACAACAACAACAACAACAACAACAACAACAACAACATTACCGCAAAGCAGGTGTACGCAAACGTTGTGGACTCGTGGTAATCGTGGTAATCCGTTGGTTCGCTACCCCGTGAGTTCCAACAATCAATCATAGAGGCAGCATACAGTAACACCGAGAGCAATATACCACAGAACGGTTCAACCTACATGACTGTACAAGTTAACATTACCGTCCTTTTGCTAAAGATCTCAGGCTGTATGTACTCTTGATTGCACATACAATAAACCAGTGTTTGCTGGACCCTGTACCAAGCGGAATCCTGTACGAACCAGACACACTTCCGTGCATCAACATGCTGTGGATCGAACGTGCATCCCTGGATCAAGCGGAATCCTGTCATATCGGGCAGGACAGTTTCCGCAGCACGAAGGGGGTCCGGTTTAGGGCAGTTACTGTGTATGCTGCATTGTGATAACAACAGGCAACAAAGGAACCTAAGCAACGATGTGTGGATGTCTTACTGAGTGGTCTCAGTGTGAATGTGTTTCTGCTTGGATAGGTTTGGTTTTCCTGTGTGAATATAAACAGCCTCCAAAGCATTCCGCCCCTCAGCACTGTGTACATGTGCATAGGCATGGGCGGGTAATGCTAGTTATTTGCTGCGATAATGCCAAAGGCAATGCTCATAATATGAGGATATAATGCCACTTATAATGCTCACACTACTCCATAATGCCAGTTTGAAAGTTGGAAAAGTCGATTTAAGAAGGCCGTCTTGGATCAAGGCCAAAGCGTGGACGAAAAAACTTTTAACAGCAGTGAGGAAGCTGCCACTGACAATCCACTGAGAAGGTTGGTTTGCAACGCCAAGGCTCCGGACGAAGCCGGACGGGTTCAGATGCACGATTTTCGGAACTGGACCTAGCCAGCTTCATGCATGACACCGTTGTCAACCGGCAATTATGCTTGTAATGCCAATTTTGCATGCGAAATGGTGTTATAATGCCAGCATTATGCCACCTGGAAAAAAGGGACTATAATGCCAGCCATAATGCTAGCATTACCCGCCCATGCCTACATCATGACATCATTGTACAGTGACAGAATCGAAAACAACCACAACTACATGTACATGTACATGTACGTGCATGACAGTGGACGACTGGGTATCAGACTTTCAATGTGTCTGTTGACGCCCGTGGCTGTTCACCATTAGTCAGTAATGCCATTAGTGCATAGCTGCGGAGTATGCTCTATTTCTACATCATACATGTAGGTGCGTGAGAATTCTCACTCACTGTTGCTCCTTTTTCTGCGTTTGTCCTGGCTAATGTACCAACAGCAGCCTGCTGCTTATATCACCTACATGTCTTCTTCTACTGGTTAGCTTCTTCTTCTGCCTGTATCCTCAACCTGAGGAGAAAGAAAGGAAAAAACATTTAGAATGTGTATTGCTAAGAGCGTGAAGCTTGTTCTCTTCCTTACAAAGGAAAGAAAGGAAGGAAGAGCCTCATTGCGGCATTTTGCCTGGAAGCTGCGGAAATTTTCCGTGCTGTTATGAATCCTAGGATATCCTGTCCGACTGTAGGCTCGGGGCCGAATCACCGTATCACTACGGCCATGTGGCGGGGATTTGCGTGCGTTTTCACCTATTGTCCGACAAGCAGCAATGCAATGCGTAACAGAAATAAATTACCTCCATCGATACGGCCAAGTAAACCGGTATGAGATGCAACAAAGGTTAGTCACTACATGTACATTTTATGTCACCTGAACAAAAAAGTCGTTGTCACGGGGTACGAGGGCTCTTTCTCCACGGGAGCTGCACATTCCGAAGTCTGATTTTAATATACAAATCATCGTAACAAATGTCATGAACATGACTGTATTATGAGCATGAGACTGGGAACTCAGGGCCGAATGCTGCTGCTAACCCCTTTATTGAGACTGGGAACTACATGTAGTAATACTCGTGGTCAAACGTTTACATTATAATTCTTCATTCAGACTTGCTTCTCTTTGCCTCGCCCTGTGTAGGTGTATTGCCTCTTGTAAATTGTCATTTTTGCATTGTTCTCAGTACCTGTTGCCATGGCTGGCTATCGCCCCCTCCCTCCGTAGTGGCCTCTATTCCCTGGCGACGGGAAGGTGAAATAAATAAATGGCTAGCGAAATTCTCCTATTTCAATTCACCGTCTCCTCAGTACTACAAGTGCAGTGTACCGGTACATGTACATGTACATGTACATGCATTGTACAGTAGCTGCAGCACGTCAGTAGATACCAGGGAGTCGTATTAATTATTACGATTCCCTTGTAGATACTGCCATTACTGTTGTCAGTATTATCATGTATACGTACCCAGTGGCTCCATCGGAAGGGAATTTGTTCAGCTACCCAGTCAACACTGCCTCCTTGCATTTTTGACAATGGCTCCTCATTCCGATGTCAGGGATTTTTAAAGGTAGCGATGCTCCTCCAGATGCTGCTACTCCAAAAAACCTTTCCATGTGACTGTCTCGCCATCAGCCATTGTGAAGTGCCTCAAACGCCGTCTTGAACTCTGGAGAGTGGGTGCCATCTCAGATGTAATGGAAGGATGCCGTGCCAAATGCAAACAGATCGGATCCCATCAGATGAGACGGGACAAAGCTCGTGCTGGGCATGATGGCACTGCCAGAAAGTTTGCATCCCTGATAACCGATGGCAAACTCAGGTCTGCCCTCGCACACCTGGAAGAGGACAACAGAGGCGGTGTTTTGAACCTGGACGATAGAGTCGATGGCGTAGCTGTTCGGGATATTCTGGCTGCCAAGCACCCGCCGGCAGAACCTGCCCATCCGGACGCTCTTGTTCAAGGGGTTTTACCTCCACGACCACCGTGATCCCATCCGATTTGAGTCATTAACTGCCAATAACTGGAGAGGTCATCCGCCACGCTGCCCTAAATACACATGGAGCAGCGGATCCGTCGGGAGTTGACGCTGACACCTGGAGGCGCATGTGTACCGGATTTGGAGGTGCCTCTGATCGGCCGGTCTGCGAGTGCGAGGCCCTGGCTGCTTGTGCTTGCCGGCCGGTAACAACATTCGTCGATCCCGGGTCTCTAAAGGCATACCTTGCTTGCTGGTTTATACCTTTGGATAAGAATCCAGGGGTTAGCCCAATTGGCATTGGTGAAGTTCTCCGCCGTATACTTGGCAAAGCCATCCTGTCTATGCTACGGGACAATATCCAAGAGGCTGTGGGCAGTTTGAAGGTCTGCGCCGACATGAGAGTGGCATTGAGGCAGCCGTTCATGCTATGACGACTGTTTTCGACGATGACGACACGGAGGCACTGTTGATGGCGGATGCTTCCAATCAGGGAGTAGTACAATACCCAGTATACCTAGTATTGTACTACTCCCTGCTTCCAATGCGTTTAACCGTTTAAACCGCGAAGCATGTCTTCGCAATATCCAGCGCCTCTGCCCAGCTATGTATGCTATCGTTATCAATACGTACCGGCACCCTGCCAACCTAATACTCGGCGGAGAGGTTATACGGTTCCGTGAAGGCACCACGCGATCTCAATCAAGAGTACGCGATGGAGGCAGGAGCAAATATTTGAGCTCCTGCTCCATCCATGCTTTCTTTCAAAGTATCGAAAGATTGGCCTTCCGATCATAAGTTTATACTTCAGGAACTGTCAGGAAATACATTAAACGTGAGAGAGAGAGTCTGTGAAGCAGATAGATGTGCATGGAAAACCTGGTTGGAGCCAAGTCACGCTCTCAAGCAGAGGCCTGCGCAGCGCGAGACGTTTTTCAGCAAAGGACTGTGCATACGAGGTGCGCAGTTGGAGCTGCACCTCCCCGACGAGGGCTCTACCCAGCTCCCAGCTCTACCCGGCAAGCTGATTGGTCCGCCATCACACGGCAAAGTTACCTTCGAAGGCACATCCTTCGTGTGTTGTACCGGTACTCCTCATGTATGACAGTATTGTGGACGAGTTGACTACGATAACAAGTAGTTTCACACGACGTACGTTTCGCCGTATTGTTCGTGACGGCTCATCAGGTGTGCAAATTTAACTCGGATATTGAGCCAATGAATATAATTAAAATAGAAGAAATCACATGGAAACGAGTTATGAAGCAACTATCCACGACAGTACGTACGTTGTGTGAAACTACTTGTTGCTGCTTCGAATTGTAGTTAGACCGCATTGTCATGTTATTAACTTGTCCCGTCATGGTCTTGTAACAGTCGGCATTCTTTGTTGCCGTGGGACTTAGCTTGTGCACATTTTCGCTGCGCTCACCTTCCCCTTATTGGTCTTACCATAACCTTGAACCTTCCAAGCTGGAAGGCTGCTGGTTTGCGCACTGGAGGTGTGTGAGAGCTAGGTCTCAGGTCGCTGAATGTCACAGTAACATGTCAGTTTTGTGCCCTTTTATCGCACTTTCGGACTGCATCTTGTTACAGTCGTGGATAGTTGCTTCATAACTCGTTTCCATGTGATTTCTTCTATTTTAAATTTTAATTATATACATGTACATACATACATACCGGTACATACATACATACATACATATTGATATAAGGGTTTTCAACCCATTTGTGCCCTCAAATCGCTCCTCCTCCGTCTCCGCAGCCTACACCCGCCATGAGAAAGACAAGAAGCGGGCGCAGATCTACGAACAGCGCTTGCGTGATGTGGAGCACGCCTCGTTCGTCCCCGCAGTGTTCTCTACAACCGGTGGTGTGAGCAAGTGAGTATTGTATTGTATTCTATTGTATACGTCGTCAAGGAACTTTACTAAACGGCAAACTGAAAAGTGTGTACTACAAAGATAAGTTCAGTGCCGCTACAGGAAATCCTAGACTCCAATGGGCAGTGCTGAATCAACTAACTGGAAGGAGAAAATCCCACCCCACACCGAAAGCCTCCCTCTCATATTTGTCAGATACCCTAGGCAATATCGTCCATGATGAACACCACGCTGCTCTTACGACCCCAGACACTCCGGCGGACGACTGTTTAGACAACTGCCTTCTCGAGTTCCAACCCGTTACAACAGCAGCAGTAACGAAGATTCTCGAACGATTGAATACCACGAAAGCATCTGGATCAGACGGCATACCAGCTTACATCTTGAAACACCATGCCGCCGAGCTGGCCAATTCCTTAACTTCCATCTTCAACCAGTCATTGTCTAGCGGAAAGGTACCGTCAGCCTACAAACTAGCGTCTGTGTGTCCAGTGTTTAAGAAAGGCGACCCCTACGACAGTTCCAACTATCGCCCAGTCTCGCTACTGCCCATTATCTCCAAAGTCTTGGAATCGCTAGTGCTCCAGCAGCTTCACGACCATCTGGACATCACACCCAGAGCAATTCCAAATGAATAGTTTGCATACAGGTGGAACCACAGCACTGAGGACCTTTTAACACTTGCCATCAAAACTGGCAGAGAAGCATGGATACCGGAGACTATACGGCCGATATGAGCTAAGCCTTTGACCGCGTCCACCACCAAACGCTAATAAGTAATAGATGACCTCTGCTCTCCCTCCCCGTGCAGTTCAGTAACCCGCACGTAGTATCACAGATACATCGTATTCTCTCTCTCCCCCCGTTTACCCGCAGTTATTAGTATCCTATTCTCTTACTATGTGCTTCCATAGCTTTTACTATGTTCTTCCATAGCCACTTCTAGGCTAAGCCTTCGCCGTCATTTTATTGGGTCGTCATCCCGTTTGAATGTGCGAAGTGAAATAAAAACCAACCAACCAACCAACCATGACCTTCACAATCTGAAGATCCGTGGAAGTGCTCTTGAGTGGTTCAAGTCGTATCTGTCTCACCGACAGCAACGCGTAGAAGTGAACGGAACCACAAGTGACTGTAGAACCTGCACTAGGGGCGTTTCCCAGGGTTCCGTCCTAGGCCCTACCCTCTTCAGCATCTACACTCGACTTGTCCCCACTCTGCCATTGCGTTCCCAATGCCTTCTTTATGCAGACGACACCACCCTGTATGCCTCTGGAAAGTGTCCACGAATTCTCATGTCTTACTTAGAAGAAGGTTTTTCAGTGGTGAAGCAGCACCTCACAGATCGCGGCCTGCTCCTGAACTCCAGCAAGAACCAAGTACTACTGATCCACAGCAGAGGCTCACATCCTCCACCTTACCTGAGCATTGTCTGTGGTTCGACTGTTATTGCCCCGTCTGACGAAGTTAAGTATCTAGGACTGACTCTCGATTCAACTTTAAGTTTCAGTGCCCACGTTCACTCCCTCAGGGAAGACATCGGAAAGAAACTAGGTGCTTTTCGACGTGGAAGGAGGAACCTTGCTGTCCAGGCCAGAAGGCAGTTCTACTTGTCAGTAGTCCAGAACAAGCTCGAGTACGCCAGCACTGCCTACGTCCACTGCCTCGCTGACAAAGTGAGAGATCAGCTGCTACGCATAAGGAAGAGAGCACTTAGATGCATATTTGAGCATGACACATTCACGCGGACATCATACTTGCTTGAGCGATACCACATAATTAGCTTAGACAAAATATATCATACTAAGTCCATATTCTTCGTGTTCCGTTGCATCCACAATATCTGCAGTTCACTCCTCTCTGACATGTTCTCCCTTCGCCGTGACTGCGCTCACACAGATAGAGTAACCCGCGGCCAAGTCAATTATTCCCTTTCCTTACCCATTGTGCAAGCTCAAGCTGGATACAGATCTATTTCATTCCTTGGTGCTGACCGCTTTAATTGCGCTTCCCGAATCCCTTCGCACAAATCATATCCCCAATTCATTTCGCCAGGAACTTAACTCATTCATCTTGGGCACCCTGTAAGAAGAGCTTAGGGTCTGTTGGGAATGCCCAAGGAAAATAATAACATTGGTGCGGCGAAAGTGTGAGAGGGGGGTCCGAGGGTCCTCCCCCGGGATTTTGTTTTGAAAATTGGGCCTAAAAGGCCATATTTTAATGCTACAGAATAATATGAGAAAATTATGCATGCTGATGACACATGTATGCACACCGCATTGTCGATGTAAAACATGGTACAGTGTACCTGTAACCTGTACAGTCATATCATGTACAAGAGTCTACAAGCCATCAACAAGGTTGAAAATGTTGAAAAAATAAAAAAATAAAAAAAAAACTTCCAAAATAATTATTTGTGCGGCTTTGGCCGCTAGTACCTGCCGCACCGGTTCCGACGCGCTAGGTCCAGGCCTCAGGGAGTCGTATTTTACGACTCCCTGGCCATGTGGCTAGGTCGTATCCAGTCGGGGAGATGTCCTATCTAGGACATCGCACTCTGAATGAGTCTGATTGGTTACCTGTCCCAGAGTTGTCATGGAAGCGTCGGTCGCGCACACGCGATGAGAAGAAGTGCTGCGTGAGCATTTCTGAATGTATGTGGAGGATGCACGATCGTAATGGCGATGGATTTCTTTCCGAATTGGTCAGGTTTCAGGGAATAGGCGGAGAATATCAGACATCGGCGGGGATTGAGGTAGTGTATATTCGATTCTCCATCGAATACCCGACCGAATGGCCGTTTTCGTTTGGGGATTTCATGTGGGGTTTCTCGTAGCCACGCGGCGCTTCTTTGGAAACGATTGGTTCTAATTATTTTGAATATCTTGCCTTTGGAATGTTTCTTCACCATGTTCACGCCCCGTGCGTTCATTTCGCCCCAAACCTGGCCATGCAGAGGAGGAAAACGAGCCAGCAGGCGCTAGGCCCGTAAATTACTGCCTGGAAGATATTATTTGGCCAAAGCTCGCTGTTGGCGTTTTTGATTTCTTAGATACGACAGCTCTTGGCTAAAACTGGACCTTGGACGGTCTTTCTTGGATATCAACCCAGGACGTGGTGGTCATGGACGTATCGCCATCGCTTTCAGCCAGATCCTTCTGCTGCCTGAAGCCAATGGCGAAAGTAAAAACTTTATCGCAGCAGCAGCTACTGCTCTGCTGAAAGTGCGAACACAAATTGCTTCGCCAATCCTCTTGTGCACTTGCAATTTTCAATGTGACCAAAACGATTCCCTTGCCAGTTCCTTTGTCCAGGCGTACTCCACAATGAGGAAAATAAAATTCGTGAAGGCAAGAGGCAAGATACGAATCTCGACTCGCTTGAGGCAAGCCGCCAGGAGAACGACAACTAATAATTATGTAATTACTTTTGAGACGAAAGGCCTTCGTTGCGTTTGTTTTGAGTGCGACATGTTCATCTTCCTCGGACGCGACACAAAGTTTTGAGTCACGTGTCACGATTACTATGGGAACAGCATAGTATGTATGCTGGGGCATGCTGGGTTCCGTGATGTCCTATCTAGAGGTATATTATGTATCAGATTGCAACGACCAGGAGGCTGAAAATAGTGGCTGCAAATGACCGATATCCGTCACTTGCAGCTCTGCATCAGAGGCCTGTAGCTGGCCTGAAGAGTTGTAAAATTACTCCTTCGTAGCCGGGCGAGTCAGAGCGAGGGCGATTCACGGCTTGGCCAAAAAACTGTCGGCCTGGAACGTAAACGTCGATCTGCCGACACAGTTCACCTGGTTCACACGCCTGACCTCGACCTGGCATGCTGCCTTGCGTGAAAGGAACATTTTTCGGAAAGCAAGCTTCTTCTCCAAAATTCGAAATTTCCTTCCAAAAAATGCCGTCGTCCTTGACCTCGAAGCTGAATGTTGTTAGGATAGAAAATTAGCGAAGATGTAGCCGACCCATTCTGGCAAGCCGTGTGCCCTCTGGATATGCAGTTGTTCGCCATGGTCAACAATCTTCTTCTCCTTCGTTCGTACTTTCACTTTCCTGACCACGAATACAAGCGGTACCCATGCTCAGGTTAGTGTTTATTTGTCTGTCTATGCACATACGTGTAATACAATGCACTGTTCGTGCTGCAGGCACTGGCCGATCATGGAAATAGAGGAATCAGCCAGCTTTCTTTGAATTCTCATCCAGTCAAGAAAAATATGTACACACTTTCCTTGGCTCCTTTTTCCCACCGCCACCATGCGCATGCATGCACTGCTTTTCAAATTTGTGTTTGCTTTGGCAGTGGTTTCATGGGTATCCTTCAGCCTTCCGTGGCATTCAAAATTCAGAATAGTTTCCACCCAGGTGCTAGTGCCTCTGTTCTGCTTAGCACATTGTAGTAAAATTATTTGCAACAGTGTCCACCCCTCCACACTGCACTCTTGGTTCACATTCACCACACCATAGCGAGGAAGTTTGTTCTTGGATAGATGTCTGGAGGATGTAGAGCATCTATCCAAGAACGAACTTCCTCGGTATGGTGTGGTAAATGTGGGCCTAGAGCGCAGTTAGGAGAGGTGGACAGTTTCAAATTAGTTAGCCACATCCGATCCTTTCTCCGATAGTTATGGACATTTTTTACTATAATATGACATTGAATGGCCACTCATGCTTCTATCGAGAGGTAACACCACTCAGGAAACTGAGGAAAGCCAACCGGTGTTGCACAGGATTTGAGGTTGGGAAGAAAAGATGTTCCGATAAAAGAACTGCGAGTACATGGGAAACGTATTATGGAAAGGGCAGTCTGAGTCGAACTAGGATCTCCTGTTCCAGACTGTACCGAAAGCGTGAATATGAATACAGTAGAGTGCGGATAATCCGAACAATCACTTATCCGAAATGCCAGTTTCCATTGAATTGAAGGGACAACCCCAAGCACCATTCAAGCGGTGCACAAGATGGTTTGCAACAGGTTGGAGCAACAATGTA